TAGACAGAAAACTATTTTCTTTTCTTTTATTGAGAAAAATGAAGGGATAATATTTTTTTTCTTTTTCTTTCAAAATTTCTTAAACCAAACATAGTGTATGCGTACGGCCCCTAAGAAACGGGGATTGGTGATGGCGACTAGTGACTAGAGAAGGACAACGAAATCCATATCTAAAAACCCTAACCCATGACAAAAAGGAAGTAGGTCTGCTACTGCTAGGGTTGTTCGTCGCGCTGTTGTCGTACCGTTTAATTTACAAATACTCCATTCATCCCAAAATATAAGCAACAATTACTATTTCGGTCTCTTGATAATTTTTTGAATGCTGTAATTTTTACATTTTATTTCTTTACCAATTTATAAATAAACACACTTAGGTAAGGGAAAAGAAAAGAAAATGTAGTAAAAATTTCTTTTTCATGTTTGGTTGGAGAGAAAAAAGTGGAAGGAAAATTAAATGAGAAGACAAATATATTAAGTGGGGGGAGAGAAAACCAAATTTCTCCCTTTTTGTGAGAAAAATAAGAGAAAATTACTCCATTTTTTTTTTCTAAAATTTTTGAACCAAATATAGCAAAAGTAATTTTAAAAAAAGATAATATTTTGCACATTATTCAAAACGTGGTTTATCATTAAGGAGTGAGAGAGTATTTTTTTGTTCTATCTTTTTAATGATTGAGCCTGACTTTCTTTTAATTTTTATTTTCTTTATATGGAGGGCGAGAGGATAGGCCCTCTGATCCCTTTTTGAACCTTCTTTGGATAATCTTTTTGGCTGTGCTACAAGCCCACCAACACTGCCCCATTTATTTTTTTTCCCCAGAAAATTATTCTTGGATACATCGATTTTCTAAAAATGTCTTTCAAGTTCTACATTATATGAAATTTATTTTGGAATACCCTCAATTTTTTTGGTAAGAACTCTTAGGTCACACATTATGTGAAATATACTTCGTGATTCTTAAAATTTGTAATATTATACTTCGAAGGTACATTCCGTCTATTTAGGCGTTAGGATTGAAAGTTATTTAACTTTAAGAAACTAAAAGATTTTATTTAAATTTAATAAAATAATGATTATGAAGCTAAAATCTAGTATTTGTCAAAGTACCACAACTTTTAATCCTAATGGTCAAATAGACAGAATGTATCCTAAGAGTACATTACCACTAATTTTAAAGACCCCGTAGTATATTTTAAATAATGTGGGATTTGAGAGTTTTTATCAGAAAATTGAGGGTATTCGAGAATATATTCAGATAATGTGGGAACGGAAAGTCATTACCAAAAAATCGAGGGTACCTAAGAGTGATTTTTTGTTTTTCTACTTTCTATTTTCTCTCTCTCTCTCATTGGTCTTCAACCTTATATCTCTTTCATTTTTCCATGCGGAATACTCACTCTGTCCCTCATAGATCTTCTCAATAGCCCTTTTTTTTTCCACAATAGATCTTCTCATTTCATTTTTTAACAATTAAAATACCACAACTACCCCCACTTACTTTATTTATTACACCTCACCCACCTCATTTAATACACTCCACCCATTTTTCATTAAGGGTATTATGGTAAATTTTCACTTTTTTTAACTCTCCTTAAAAAGCATCAAAAGTCAAAATGAGAACATCTTAGAGGGACGGAGGGAGTATTTTTTTTGCCCTTCTTCCTCATCTACTTCTCTTCAAATAAAATCAACTTTTTGTGTATTTTGTGTGTGTTTTGTTGGTGACTCTAGTATAACTCTTTATAGATACATCACGTGATTCTTTTCAAGAAGAAATTTACGTTTCTCCCATCTAAATAAGATGAGTATGAGTATTTTTTTGTAGATGTGTTTGAAATTCCTATCATTTTTGTTAAATATGTTTAATGTTCGTGAATTTAGGATTTCTTAATATCACAGAAGATTATAGTTTGTATTCGTTTTGTAATTGGATGACATTACAGGCTAAACTGTGAATGTAAACAACAATTATAGACGGTGAATGTCTCTAAACTCTATAATTAATCAAGATAATAATTTTATACTTGAAGTCAAACGACCTCATCAAACAAGAAAAACACAAATTAATAAAACTACAGACAATAAAAGTATGTGAGTTCCAAACATGTGCAACTAGAGACATTGATCTCTTAAATGAATAAAAGTTAGAGAACATATCACTATGATTTTCTAAAAATTAACACAAATAAAAATATATATGTCTGCCTAATAAACTTTTAAAAATAGTCAAGTATTATTATGTTTGTCTCACAGATATTTAAAGTCGGTGAAAAGCACAAAATTTAGATTCAAAGACATTAAAAACAAGTAAAAATTATCATAGAGTATTATTCATTAAAAATTTAATTTTCTTTTAAATGGCCAAATTGAAAACTATGAAGAATTTGACATAGCGATCTTTGTGCACTCTCGCCCGCTCGAATTCAATTTTATAATCCAAATAACAAATCATTCAAAAACTCTAATTTTTATTAGCGTTTCTAAAGGATCTAATTATAGAATTTGCTCTTTATTTTGAAATGGAGAGCGTAATTTAATTTTTGAATTTTAATTCAATATTCAAAGTAATAGTACTCCCTATTAAAAATGAACTTAGGGTCCGTTTGGTATAAGGAATTGGTGGAATTGGAATTGAATTGAAATTGTAATTCCATGGGATTCAATTCTATAGAATTGAATTATGTCAATTTCAATTCATTTTTTGCACTATCATTTCCGAATCTACATAATTTTTGTGTTATCAAACACTAGAATTGGAATTGAAGTCTCTAATTCCAATTCCATAATTTAAATTCAATGTACCAAACGGGACCTTAATCCAGATTCGTCAAGTGTAAAAAGTTATCAATGGCAGAAAATAAATCGTAAACGACGAAAATCAGGGCGCCATTAAATAAAAGAAGCGCGCTCATCGGACGGCCATTAGCCTTCCAGCTCACCGATCCGCGCCCAACCGCACTGACCAATCACATTCCGCCGATGCCTCCTATATATACGAACCGCATCCACACCAGACCAGCACCAAAGCGATCAGCGCCTCAATATTTCAATTCTCTCTCGCTGTTGAATCCCCCCTCGAAGCATGGCGCCGAAACCGGAGAAGAAGGCGGAGAAATCCCCGGCGGCGGAGAAGAATCCGTCGAAGGCCGGGAAGAAGCTCCCGAAGGAATCAGTCGCCGCTGCCTCCGCGGAGAAGAAGAAGAAGAAGGTGAAGAAGAGCATCGAGACCTACAAGATCTACATCTTCAAGGTGCTGAAACAGGTCCATCCGGACATCGGGATCTCCAGCAAGGCGATGGTGATCATGAACAGCTTCATCAACGACATCTTCGAGAAGCTCGCGCAGGAGGCCTCCAGGCTCGCCCGATACAATAAGAAGCCGACGATCACCTCCCGCGAGATCCAGACGGCGGTGAGGCTCGTTCTCCCCGGTGAATTGGCGAAACACGCCGTCTCGGAGGGGACGAAGGCGGTAACCAAGTTTACGAGCTCTTGATCCTCTATCAATGGCGGCGGTTCCATTTTTTTCTTAAATTCGATCTAGGGTTTCTGGTTTCATTGGGAATACGTTTACATATTTTGTCCCTTTATTTCCCTTTTTGTTGGTTATGATCGAAGAAATATTCATTGATGATATATACGATGGCTTTTTCGTTTATTGCAAGTTTGCAATTCTTATTTCCATTGTTGATTCGTTGAACAAATTGTTTTGGAAAATGTTCGAATAATACTCAGATGAAAAATGAATCAATATTTGCATATGATTGCCAGAAACTCCTCCTCACTTTTTACATTTTATGTTTTAAACATTAAATTTTCATGTTCATACTTGTTTACCTCAACATTTTGTCATTAAACGTTTCATAAATATTATTGTGAGATAAAAATACAGTACTTATATAAATTAATTATTAATTAAATAAAAAATGGTACGGAGTGGTAGAGGGAGAAAAGACAACATATGAAGGGAATCAAAACATAACAAAATAGGTGTCTATTTATATAGCATAAATTTATACGATAACCGTTATATATTTCATCTTCCACTAATGTGTATAAATCTAAAAATATTTTTGAATGATGTAACGGTTATAATTTTCATCTTCCACAAATATGTAATAGGTCCAGATGTCACACAATGAGTGTAATGGTGGGAGCCACCTTTCATATTTATATTTCACGTGTAAAAAAACACTCGCATATCGAAGTTTGAAAATTCACTCATGTAGGTCTACATTTTGCAATTGGCAAAATTTAAAGTGCCAAAGGGTAACACACGACCTCGATTTCTAACAACTATACTGAGCAAATTAGCTAAGCATAAAGTCACACACGAATCAAATTTGTTTAATGATATGGAAGAGCTCTTATTCTCTTAGCATGTACGGCTTGCATGGAACGATTTTTAATTGTGTTGGGTAATATGTTCAAACTTAAATTAAGAACATTTTCTATGAGGGTAAAAAACAATCGTAATTTTTTTTTTTGCAAATCTGAGCTTAAAGATAAAACTGGTAGCAAATAATGGGAGAGTTAACCTTAGAAGGGTTACTTTACACTCTCTGTTTACATGATTTCATATACGGAGTACTTAAATGTGATCATTAGAATCACAAAAACTTCAATTTTTTCCTCCAATTCTCTGGATTTAGAAAAATATTAAGTTACAAATACATGATTAATAGTTACTTAATTGATAGTTTTTAGCCATTCATTGCTAAAAAAAAAAAAGAAAAAAAATTAAGTAAAAAGGTTTTGGGAACATGCAAAAATGAGAAATGAATATTTTTTTGAGAGATATGGACTAGATACAAATGCTCCCTATATTCTACGGGGTACATTAAAAACGTAAGCAGAAACGCCGGAAAGACCAACCACGACGCTAATGCTCGACTTCAAAGACTATTCGTAGAATTTTCAAAGTTGAAAGACCAACTGTGCATAACACAATAACTTGAAGAACTAACAGTGCAATTCAGCCTTTCAACATTATAAATCAACAAATCTAATGTTATTGGTTTCTTAGTTGTATCTCAATGTACTTTAAACAAACATATAGAAAAAGTGTTAGCATATCCCTCCATTATAAACACATGAAGATACATTCAGGCTCAAATCCATTCAACTGTCAAATTGCGAGGGAGGGATAAGAACTGAAGATTTTCACACAAGGAAAAAAACATTACAAAGCTTTATAATGGATGGGATGGGTGGACAAGAACTTTAGCCACTTAACAACAACCCTAGTGAGTCCCATAAAAGTAGGGTCTGAGGAAGAACTTCAGCCACTCCTCACCATTAATGCACCAGACTGTGTTTTCTTATTGAGTTAAAAGACTACACACAAAAGCAAGTAACAATGCAAATAGCAATACATTGGGGAGTTTTTCATTCAGGAGGATGGCCCATTCTTCACCAAGTCTTGCAGTGCATTTGTAATTTGCTGCTCTGAAAACCCTTCCACATGGACTCCTTTTTCAACTCCCAAATCTGTTCTCAAATCAAACATTTCAATTTTCGTTTGAGCATTAGGAAAAAAACTAGACGTAAAAAGATAAGTAAGAATGTAGAAATCTTAAAGCATATCAACAGTTTGTTTCATATCGTGCCAATTCAAACTCATAAATGTAAGAGTTTACTAAATAAGCTGGAATGCGCCAGTAGACACATGTTAAAATTAACAAGAAATATACCGGGAAGGGGGTGGGGGTGGCTATGAAGCTCTGGTCATGGACATAGCAAACCCTGAACAAGAGGTGAGTAACACAGAAATTTGAACTTCTGCCTAATGAAGGTGATGGGATAATGCCCCCGGGCTTGTGAAATATTGGGCCCAGTCCATGGAAGAAGCCCATTAGTAAAACCCGAACTCTATTGAAAGCATGGGTGGATTACTGAATCGAGATTGTGCTTCTTTGCAAAACTGAAGCAAAGCAAGTGGTTAAATGGTAAATGAAGGAAAATCTCCAAATGAGATGGAAAGAATAGAGTTGTGCAATCAATGGTGGATGAGAATACCAAGACAACTTGGGGTGAATTAAACAGGGTTATTGTCTTACAAGTAAGAGGAAACCAGGGTTCTTTACTGGAAATGATAAAGCCAAGAGTGAGACAACAAATGCAGTTGTTGTCAAGTAGCAACAGCAAAATTAAACATTGATTATTCATATGAGGAATAAATTTCCAGTTGATCCGCAGTTTAATTCAGGATTAGCTGTAACATTAAGTACGGATTATTAGTAACATTGGGAGGGGGATCACTTCGTTAGCTGAAATTACAGGGAATAGTAGTAAGATTGATGGATGTTGGCAGGTTACATTGATTTGAAAAAATTGTAAAGCAGCCGGTTCAATATGCATATGGCTAATCTGTTGTATACAGTTACGATGACGATGCTGTGAATATCAAGCATAAACACTCCGCCCCAAAAAAAAAGTCATGTTTGTAACTATTACAGAGTATCCCACATCGGAAAAGTGAGAAAAATAATGGGTATATAAACTCTTGAGTTGAACTAAGTAATCGATTGGATTCAATCTTTTAATGTGGTTCGACCCAAGTGTCTTATAGCTAAATCAAGAAACCCTTCCCATCCTAAATTCTATCATAACAAATTTTTCAAATAATAAAAAGAAAGATAAAAAGTAATTTGCCAAAATAAGTCATTAACAAGTAACAGATAATTACTTTTGTCAAGCCAACAAAAAAGTTAAAAAGAAAAAACAGAAGTACTCTGTATAATTCATAGTTGTACACCAGTAAAACATGGCTGTTTCAGTCTTTCCGGGGG